AATTTTGTACTTTTACTTGAGTAAATTTTGAGATGGGTAATTTTACTTACTTACTTACTCTGAGTAGAATTTAGGCAAAGTAAAGATACTTTTACTCAATTACAATTTTTTAGTACTCTTCCCACCTCTGTGTATGACACTTTTAAGAGTTATTTATTTCTTTTGCATGAAATAAACTTTAATGAATTATTTATTTCAAAATATAATGAATTGTTGTTTTTTTCTTCATTTCATACATTTTAAGGAAATGTTCTAATAACGATTGTAATTTTAAAACCTGGCTACACATGCTCTTCCTGGATGAGGTTGCGGTGACGATTTTCGCTCGCATTTTGTTGTTGACCAAATGAAGCTACTATGATGAGAAAAAGCAGAACGAAACTAAAGTGATGTGTTGCACTAACAAATACTGCAGAATTTGAGAGTAGGGATAGAATGATGCAGAGTGAGGAAAAGTGGTCCCCATGTCTTCCAGCAGCCAAAACTTACAGCAGCATAAATATAGAAAAGGGGTCGGATAACCTGACTATTTTGGGTGGAGTAGAGAAAGGTTTTTGCAGACTCCATATTTGAATCCTGTTTGACCGATCTAATCGAGGAGAAAACCAATCTCTCCGTTTTCTCCCTTTTAGATCCAGTCGTTTGTCAAGATGTGGCTCGCCAGGAGAAGATATTTGTCACGACTGAGATTCTTCAAACAGAACGTAATTTTTTTAAATGTATTTATTATCTGCTGGAATTCTGATCCAAAACCGGTTTGATGGGCTTACCTTAATGCTAAATATTTTTTTATCAGCCAATTAGAGAGTTGTCTCCATGGTTACATTTTGTGATCCCTGATCTTTGATAGGTGGATGCTGTGATAAAGATCCAGGCCTTCTTCAGAGCCAACAGAGCCCGACATGAGTACCGCATGTTAGGTGAGCTCACAGTGCTGCACCTGATTGGCCAAACTAAGTGTCACACATGTCCCCTTAATAAGCTCGTCTCCTTAAACTCTCTCAGTGCATTCGGACACGCCCCCCCTGTCTGTGGTCAGGAAGTTCCTTCATTTGCTGGATCTGGGAGATGCTGACATCAGAGAGGAGGCGGAGCTTCTGCGTCTGCGAGAGGAAGTGGTGAGAAGCATCCGCTTCAACCGGCAGCTGGAGACCAACTTGGACCTGATGGACCTGAAGATCGGGCTTCTGGTCCGAAACAGAGCCACACTGCAGGTTAGAGTCTTACCCTGGCATTAGCATCCATCCAGACAGAACCGCTCCGTCCCAAACCATCACTATATACTGAAACCAGAGCAGGATAATCAATTTTAAACAGTTTCCGGAGACCCAGCAGAGTCTTACCAAGTTCTTATCTGTGTCTCCAAACAGGAAGTTGTGTCCCACTGCAAGAAACTGACCAAGAAGAACAAGGAGCAGCTGTCGGACATGATGGACGTAGAGAGAAGCAAAGGGCTGAAAGCCCTGAGCCGAGACAGGAGGATGAGACTGGAGGCCTACCAACACCTCTTCTACCTTCTGCAGGTGAGGCACATGTCATGCCTTTACCTGCTGCAGGCCATGTTGTACGGAGTTGTAACGAACTTTCTCCATGTTCCAGACACAGCCTCTCTACCTGGCTCAGGTGATCTTCCTGATGCCTCAGAGTCGCTCCACCGCCTTCATGGAGATGGTGGTGTTCAGCCTGTTCAACTACGGCTCCGATCGCCGTGAAGCCTTCCTGCTGTTGCAGCTGTTTACTGAGGCGCTGAGATATGAGATAAGGTGACTTCCTGTGATGTTGTTTTCTACCTTTCTGAAAACTGTGATGTCACTGGCACCTAAACACATCTATGGGTCTGTGCTCCGGTTAGGCTGAAGGTAGAGCAGCCACAGGACGTGATTACTGGGAATCCCACCGTCATCAAAATGCTGGTGAACTTTTACCGCCACGCTCAGGGTCAGAACTCCCTGCGAGATTCTTTGGGTCCAGCTCTACAAGACGTCCTACTAGACCAAACCCTCAACATCAGAACTGACCCAGTTGAGGTCTATAAGACCTGGATCAACCAGACTGAGACCCAGACTGGACACAAGAGGTGAGAACGCAGACAGCTGGAATTCTCTACGTCCCTTAAGTGAGTGTCTCACATGTCTGTCCCTGCAGCTCTCTACCCTACGAGGTTTCTGCTGAGGACGCCCTGTCCCATCCTGAAGTTCAGCGAAGAATCGACATCGCCATTATCAACCTGAAGAACCTGACAGACCGTGTGCTCAAAGCCATCACCTCCAACCTCAACAAAATTCCGTAGGTCCTCATCTTTCCCTTCTCCGCTGCCGGTATCTGCCGACCCCCTTTAGGTCAGGGTCCTGGTCCCTCTAGATCTTTGTCCATCCAACATCTGCCTTTAGTGTATGTCTCTCTGCTGAGTTCCCTCTGTCCCTGTCCCTCTACCGATCAACAACTACATTAGAGCCCCACCCGTCTGCCTACTGCCAATTCCTTTTACTTTATGTTCATCCCCCCACTTCCCACCCTGTTCACCAGCTCCTGTAGTTATGGCCTCTATGCGGTTTCCTATGGGTCCTCATCTTTTAACCTTGGTAGCCCGTCTGCAGCGGCCAGGGCTAACGTTAGACCGTCTGCAGCGGCCAGGGCTAACGTTAGACCGTCTGCAGCGGCCAGGGCTAACGTTAGCCCGTCTGCAGCGGCCAGGGCTAACGTTAGACCGTCTGCAGCGGCCAGGGCTAACGTTAGACCGTCTGCAGCGGCCAGGGCTAACGTTAGACCGTCTGCAGCGG